TCAGGCTTTGTATTCTTTGCATACCTTATTTCTCTTTTCTTCTGACAGTGGCCATGTTTACTAAGGGCAGGTGACTAGCTCTCCTTTTACTTACTGAATTTCTGGCACATGTGACCATGCACATCATCTCAGGGGAGGAAAATGCCTTTCCCTATGATCTCGTGAGATTACACATGAGATTTCCCAGCAATGCTCTGCTGATGACAAAGCAATCCCAGTGTGTATTGCTTTGGCAAACTGAAGTAATTTTGCCCTTTCAAAGCAGGAAGTGAATGTTTTGCAAGTGTAAGTATTATAAAAAATCACAGCATTTTACACCTGACATGTCTATGTTATTATTAATCATCATAGCTAGAGGGATGTATTGGCAGAATTTGATTTTTGAGTGTAAAGGTCCGCTTTAATAGGTCTCTGTGCAATGCAGGCAGATCATGGCTGGTTGGAAGGGCCAGCAGGGCACTCTACATATCTCCCTAAAAACATCATAACACCCTGCCACAGTACTCCTCTCAACAGCACTCCTGATGCAAGCAGCGGGCTGGCTCCTATGAGTTGTGCAAATATCAAAATGTCTTGATGTCAGTGAGGAGGAGTGAGTGCATGCAGACTGCCCTAGGTAATGGCCACATGTGACACTGAGCCTCCATAATTGAAATAATTGAAATCCAATGAATGAAAGGGGTGGGCCAGGGACAGTAAGGCTGGGGAGGAATTTGCTAGATGATGCTGGCTGTCCACCAGCCAGGAAATGAGATGTACTCTATCTGACTTGCTGCAGCTCCTAATGCACATTATGAAAAGCTCACAGTGTGCAGTGAAATCAGAGTAAGCATTTTCAGTAAAGGAGAGAAGCGTGTACAACTGTGCAAGACTGAAGGGGAATATTTACATATATAGTCCATTCTTTCCTTTCTAGAATATTTCTGAAATTACATTGAAGGGATTTTTCTTTTATTATTAATCATTTATTTAAACAAATGTTCAACATACAGTAAAAGAGATATAAAATGTTAAATCTTCAAGAAGTGATCATTTTATTGTTGCACACACATCTTGTCACATAGCAACGTTTCGGGGCTACTCAGGGTCCCTTCAACAGGCACAGTCCCCAATAGACACAGCGGCCAAGATAGTATATTCTCAAGTATACAAAAGTGTTTGAAACTCTGTGGAATATACTAAATCCCGCCAATAAAACCAGGTCTTCCGGAACTTCTCCTCTCTATGATGTTGAGCAGCAGTAAGTTCCTCCATAATGTAAATATCTTCTACCTTCCGCAACTGCAGGTTAAGCAGCAGAGGATCAACACGTTTCCAGTATAATGGGATACAAGCTCTATCTGAGTTGACCAGGTACATTAAAGGAGAACTATGAGGTGAGTGCTTTTCACTCACCTCATAGTTCTAGCCGACCTGTGACAATGAGACTGTCACAGGTCGGCTCAGTAGATCGGGAGGTGAGCGAACGGCTTTCGCTCACCTCTCGATCCTGTCACGGCTCTCTGCCGTGACAGGGGAGGGGCTGGATTCCCCCCTCCCAGCTCTGATCCGCCAGCGCTGACTGGCGGAACAGACGGGGGCCCAGCTGGCTCTGCCTCTAGATAGGCAGAGCCAGCTGTCAGTCACGCGGCTGGGCGGATCCAGACATAATTGTCGGGATCCGCTTCAGCTGCGGGGTCTTAGTATACCGCGAGCAGCAGCTCACGGTATACTGCGGCGTCTCGGTATACCGCGAGCTACAGCTCGCGGTATACTGAGCCTAGGGTGACGGGAGGATGCTAGTTTGTTACCCTATGGAGAACTATGGGGAAAAGCCTTAACCCCATAGTTCTCCTTTAAGAGAAAGCGTTTATATCTAGTTTTGGAGAGTGGAGATAAATGTGAGAGCGCTGCTCCTGGATCATCAGAGAGTTGTATACTGGTAAATTGATGGATTATTCGCAAAACAGGATCCCAGAAGTCACGTAATTTTGGGCACGTCCAAAAAGTGTGAAGGAGAGAGCCCGTATGGAGGCCACATCTCCAACACAGAGGGGAGCATTGTGGATACATCCTGTGTAGGGTGGAGGGGACATAATACCACATAGTGAGGATTTTATAACCCGATTCCTGGAAAGGACTGGACACAGAGGCCTTGTGCGCGGAAAAAAAAGCATATAGTCACGTTGTTTGGGGAAAAAGTGAGTTGGAGATCGCGTTGGAGATCACGCTCCCATTTCACCAGGAAGGGTAAATTCTCCAGCGAGTCGGCAGCAAGCAACAAGGTGTGAGTTTTCCAGAGACCCTTATCTAGATGCTGACTGGATAAACAAAGGTCCTCAAATGGGGTGAGATCTTGCCCAGGAGGGGATTTGCCTATCAATTTGCCAAGGAAAGTCCTAAGCTGCATATCTGCCACCACTTCAGAGGAGGAGTAATCATATTGGACAGATCTTGTAAGGATGGAACACCGTCCGGGTGCCAAAAATGCGTCACTCTAAACAGATTAGACGAGAAGAAAGGTGAAAAGGATTTACCCTCCACGCCTGGAGGGAAAATAGGATTTCCCAGTACCCGAGTCATCAACGTGAGAGCTGGACTTAGTGATAGCTGGTTTGGACAAGTGCGTAAAACACGGAAAGTTGCACCAGTAAGTGGGGGGTGGGAAACAACACCCAAGGAGAGTGTATCAAGCCATGGGACCCATGATCAGGGTATGGAAGAAGAGGCCTGTTCCAGCTTTTATCTGGAGTAACTTCACACCAAGTGATGGCTCTAGACATGTGGGAAGATTTATAATATCAGATGGGATCTGGAAAGCCTATACCTCCCCTACATTTCAGAAGCGACAGGAGAGACCTATTCATTCTATGTGCTCTGTCTGCCCATAGACATTGAAGGGAATTTATCAAAACTGTGGTAGACTTTATCTGGAACATTTGACCACAGTAACCAATCAGCTTCTGTCTTCAGCTTGTTAAGCTTTTAAAATAAAAGGGAGAAGCTAATTGGTTGCCATGCACAGCTGCTCCATTTTTGAAAAATCCTACCATTGTGTTAGAGTTATGTTACTAGATATAAATAGAGATTAGTGGTGTTCTTCATGTTAGAAGGATGGAGTCCACCCTGTAATTATTACACACTCTAGTATAAACAAACATACATTAGATGGCTGGAGAAACCAGCTAAAAGTTTCTGATCATTGTGTAACTTCAGAAACATGATGACGTTTAGTAGTTGTTGCTACACATAGCTATCTGTTTTATATAATAAGCACCAAAGTGTTTGATGGGAACCTGTAAAAATGATGCTGTTAAATACTCCTGACTTCAGGAGAGCTGAACTCTGGGTATCAAAATATACAGTATATATATATATTTATTTACACAGGAGCAGTGAGCAGGTGTCAGTGTGTGTGCAAGCGGGCTCTTTAGATCTCTTTTTTTCTCAGTGATTACCTGGTGACAGCTCAACTCCCACTCCCTGGTCCCTGAAGTCCATGTCCTCTCATTTCATGGCTGCTCTGCGTGACACTGCTCCTCTGCCTCTGGCATCTGAAGGTGCACTTTTCCGACCCTAGCCCCCCCTATGCAGCCCAAGCAGTGTCTGCAGAGCGACAGCGGAGGGAGCAGTAAGTCACCGTTGCTAGGGTATAATAGTAATATTTTGCTGCTGCTGGGATTTGATGGTTTGCAGCATTGGGATGTTTAATGTTTTACTTTGGTGGCACAACATGATTTTGGCTTGAAAGTCTCTGAAATCCACCTCCTGAAGAAGCCTGGAAGAGGCGAAACGCGTTGAGGAAGTTAAAGAGACTAATCTAATCCTATCAGTACTGCAGGACTTTCTGACAGCAGTCATTTATTTACTGCAAATCTCAAAGGTGTCATATACAGTGTCCATGATGGCTATTTGTATGATGTTTTTAATACAGACTGGGTTTCTGTTTTTTTTATTGTAATAAAATATGTACATTTTTACCAAAGCTCAAATGTAGCTCTGAGTGCTATTTAAAGCCCCTTATAATTTTCCTTTTTTTGCTGGTGTTCTGCATTGCTGTATAATGTATTGCTGGAATTTGCAGTCCTCTATAGCTGGTGGTATTCTGCATTGCTGTATAATGTATTGCTGGGATTTGTAGTCCTATATAGCTGATGGTATTATTCTGCATTGCTGTATAATGTATTGCTGGGTTTTGTAGTCCTCTATAGCTGGTGGTATTCTGCATTGCTGTATAAAGTATTGCTGGGATTTGCAGTCCTCTATAGCTGGTGGTATTCTGCATTGCTGGGATTTGTAGTCCTCTATAGCTGGTGGTATTCTGCATTGCTGTATAATATATTGCTGGGATTTGTAGTCCTCTGTAGCTGGTGGTATTCTGCATTGCTGTATAATGTATTGCTGGGATTTGTAGTCCTCTATAGCTGGTGGTATTATTGTGCATTGCTGTATAATGTATTGCTGGGATTTGTAATCCCTCTACAGCTTGGAGTCAGTGGCAGAACTTCCAGGGTTGCAGCTGTGACCGGGACCTAGCGCTTCACCACTTTCCTAAAATCATCAGTCTGTATTGTTTTAGACAAACTGTCACATGACACTAAAGAAAGTATCGGTGATTGGTATCGGCGAGTACTTGAGGAAAAGTATTGGTGTCGATCGGTGCATTCCTAAAAATTAGTATTTAATAACTTGCACTAAAATACAGTTTTACAGGTTTCATTTAAACATATATTGTGAGGACGTTGATGAGGGAGGAAAAGGAGGAAGCCGGGAAGGCAGAATATAAACAGATATAAAGTGGCTATGACATCTCAGGGCACACATGAGAGCGGACATGGCAGTCTTCCACAGGCAGAGGGCGCCACTGCTTTCCCTAGCTTGGTCCTAATTGGCTGAGGAGAGGCGAGTTCAGGATGTGGATAGAGCCCTGTAGTTGTGTGGAGTGAGTCCATCATACGGGCACAGCTGGGGGAGCATCAGACGCCTGAGCTCCGGACACCGGAGGAGACATCTGTGGAGGGAGACCGGGTACAACCGGGACACAAGCCGAGCAGCAATGGAATGAGCGGGGAGCCGGTACAGGACTCCGCTCCGCCGGCCCGAGGAATGGTGCTGACATCTGCCCGCAGCTCAGCCAGCAGCATGGAGACGTCGCCTGTCACTGCAGTGTAAGGAGCCGTGTGTGTCCCCATCACATGTCCCGGGTGACTTCTGTACCATCTGTCCTCTGCCATGCCTCATACTCCATGTATGAGAGTCCAACCATCTGGGAACAGCTGAATGGGAGATACTGTGACACCGATTCCTAGAGGGATTGTCCCACCGAATCCTAGAGGGATTGTCCCACCGAATCCTAGCGGGATTGTCCCACCGATTCCTAGAGGGATTGTCCCACCGATTCCTAGCGGGATTGTCCCACCGATTCCTAGAGGGATTGTCCCACCGATTCCTAGAGGGATTGTCCCACCGATTCCTAGAGGGATTGTCCCATTTAATCCTATAGGAATTGTCCTAGTGATTCCTAGAGGAGTTGTCCTATTTGATCCTATAGGAATTGTCCCATTTAATCCTATAGGAATTGTCCTAGTGATTCCTATAGGAATTGTCCTATTTGATCCTATAGGGATTGTCCTAGTGATTCCTAGAGGAAATGTCCCACTGATTTCTATGAATTGTGCAATTGAAGTCTATAGAAATTGCTCCCATTGACATCTATAGGAATTGACTCATTAAATAGTATAGAACTTGTTGAATTCTATGGGGAGTTTCCTGTTGCAGCCTATAGTAATAGTGCCATTAAAGCCTAAAGGAATTGCCCTGTTGAATAGGACAGGGGTAGGTATACTATATCCCTCCAGCTGTGGTGGAACTACAAATTCCATCATGCCTCTGCTTCTGGTAGTCATATCTGCATCTGTCAGTCTTGCAATGCCTTATGAGACTTGAAGTTCCGCAACAGTTGGAGGGCTGAAATTTGGCTACTCCTGCTTTAGGAATCTCCCCATTAAATGTTCTAGGAATTGCCCCCTTGAAGCCTATGGGGCTTGCCCCGTGCTGAATATTACACAGTGCTTTAGAGTGTACCTGGATCTATTTACATCAGCTCAGTGCGCTCAGTGAAGGGAAGTGGAACAAGCTCCTTCAGTCTCTGCAAAAACCTGCCTTTGTGTACAGGTAAGTAAAACTTATATAGGGTCTTGTGGCATTTAAAGGAGACCTGTCTTGAGCAGAATACTTGGGCTGCCATCGCTGACCTTTACTACTGAAAGTGCGAGCTGTCATGCTGATCTGTAGCTGTAGGACTTGCAGACCGAGAGCAAGGACATAGATTGAGAGTTCTGACTTTAGTGGCTGCATGCCTGTTCTGAGCATCCAACTTCAAGTGACCCTGTCATCTTCTGGGGAAGAAAAGCAAACTATTCCTCGCATCACTCTCTTGAAGAGCTATGCCGTCTAAAACCCTTCTGCATGTGACACACTTCCTGGTAGGTCAGGACCTGCACACTGTGGTTCCATCTGTCAGCTTCTGCATCAGTACAGTATAGCTCTCCTAGAGGGTGAAGATCCGAGGGAAGGAACCTTTGCCAGCGTTTTATAGCTCTGTAACCTTTCTGGAAGGATTCATCCTCTGTATTTGTCTTGGTAACCATTGTCACCAGAACAGAAAGTGATAAGAGATCCAAACTTTGCAGTTGTCACCAGAACAGAAGGTAAGGGAAGATCTTCCAGCAGGGACACCTGTTTCTATGACCGCTGGCCAAGAGGGCCTTTCCCCCCTCATTTCCTATTTTGTCTCTAGGTAAGGAAGTAAAGGGAACTCTCTCTAAAGCTGGCCATACACCTTACAACCATCACTTTCGTTGTGCGATGGTTGTAAGGTAATTAAAATCTCGTACGATCTGCCCATCTTGGACAGGCAGATCGTACTTGTGATCATCTTGCGATGATTCCAATGCTAAGGGGGCAGTTCGGCATTTGTCTTCCGAGCACGCCACTAACCCTAAAATCTTACGATTTTCGGCAGGTTTTCAAGCTCGGAAGACAAGACGTGCGACCGCACAGTAGAAACGGTTGCACGCCTTCCATACACCTGCTGATTATCATACGATCGCGGGATCACCCACGATTATGGTAGATAATCGGCAGGTGTATGGGCACCTTAGGCCCCGTTCACATTGAGCGATTTATCGCGCGATTTTTGTAGCGATATCGCTCATATTTCCGCACTATATCGCTCCATGTAGCTTCACCAATACATTTCAATGTAGCTGTTCACATCTCGTCGCTCAATATCGCTTGTAGCTCGTCGCTGGTAGCTTGTCGCTTCTACATGACCCTTTTTTAGGCCCCGTTCACATTGAGCGATTTATCGCGCGATTTTTGTAGCGATATCGCTCATATTTCCGCACTATATCGCTCCATGTAGCTTCACCAATACATTTCAATGTAGCTGTTCACATCTCGTCGCTCAATGTCGCTCAATATCGCTTGTAGCTCGTCGCTGGTAGCTTGTCGCTTCTACATGACCCTTTTTTAGAGCGATTTTGAGCGATATTGCTCCTGATTGCATACAGCCCAATAGGAAGATGTCGCGCGACACGTCGCTCAATGTCGCTCAATGTCGCACGATTTGCATGTCGCTCAGTGTGAATGGGGTCTTAAGGGGATGCCCGTTTTTGTTGTCGGGTTTTTAAAGTGCATCTACAATCCAAAGTTGGCTTTTTGGATTGGTTTAGTGACACCTTGTCTGAGTAGATTTTCCTAAATTTGAAGACATTTCTTTGTGTCTACAGGACCGAAAGTGCAGGGAAATGTCTCCAAAGAGACACGGGTTTAACCAGGTGTAAAACAAACAAAAAATTGGCTTTAGATATAATGAAATTAGTATTGAGGACGCAGACGGCCAATAGTGTTTTTAGGCTAGTACTGGTTGTCTCCACAATGGCAGCCTACATATTTCCCTTTTATCTGCACCCTGTCCTAGAATTGTGAGTGAAGTTCATCACACTGTTCATTTGTGCAGGAAATGAGCTCTCGCAAAGGAGTCCATAATCCCTTTTGTCAAGGATGGACAAATTCCAGGGGCCAGGTAGCCAATGCACCTTAAAACAGCACCCCGGGGAAATCAAATGGTAACCCTTGCAGTGGGGCTATCCCCCCACACACTTCAAGGGATACGTGCTACTTTGTCTAGGGAGCTAAAATAACAAAGTTATACTCGCCTGATCCTCCGAGCCAACTTGCTCTTAGGCCAGTCTCTTCAGCCTCACTACTCTGCTTCAGCAGTCTAAGGTCCAGTAAGTCATCGCATTCTATACACAGTGTACAGAACGTTAGGACGCCAAGGGACATACCGTCACTGGAGGGAGCGGCGTAGGAGCAAACTGGCTCTGAGGATCAAGTGAGTATACCTGTTATTTCAGCTCCCTAGGCCAGGGGTAACCAAACTACAGCCCTCCAGCTGTGGTGGAACTACAAATCCCGCGAGGCATTGCAAGATTCTCACAGCCCCACAGACATGACTCCCGGAGAGAGATGCATCATGGGATTTGTAGTTTCACCACAGCTGGAGGGCCAGAGTTTGGCTAACCCTGCCCTAGACAAAGGAGCACTTAACCCAGGGGTAGCCAAACTCCGGCCCTCCAGCTGTGGTGAAACAACAAATCCCATGAAGCATCTCTCTCCGGGAGTCATGTCTGTGGGGCTGTGAGAATCTTGCAATGCCTCGCGGGATTTGTAGTTCCACCACAGCTGGAAGGCCGGAGTTTGCCTACCCCAGACTTAACCCTTGCTGTGTCTGGGGTGTCCCCACTGCAAGGGTTAAGGTTTGCTTTTCCCAGAGTTCTGTTTTAACAATTACAGCGGGCGTCTAGCTTTTGATGTCAGTGGAGCTGTGCTTCTTGGCTCCTGCAATCCATATGAATTTGTGCTCCCTCGTCTCCTATGAAGCGTGTGTTTGTATATATCTTTTATGTGTATATAAATGTTGAGTGCGTTTGAAGTGAATCCGAGGAGAGCCGTTATCTGATGACCCGGCTACACTGGCCTTGCATGAACTCGTGCTGGTCAATACCTATAACCACATTAAGCCTTAAGCTCCCAATCAATAGCGATGCCTTCAGCTTGCTCTGCTTTCAGAAGTATTTTCTAACTTGGTTTTTAATAAGTGTTCTGTTACGTTCTACAAGCCAGACTCTATACCAACAGACAGCTGGAAAGGAGATTTCAATAGGATGATTAGTATGATTTGTAGGATATTCTAATCGTGGCTTACTAATGAGTGTGGTTTCACAAATGACCTTACAGTGACTGCTGCTGTAATGAGTTCCCTTCTTTCCGGCCATTTCTTGGTGGTGGAAGTGATGCTTGTTCCAGGATATGCCATGTGCTTCCTGTCGGGTAGAGTACATTAGGCATTCCTGTTTTGTGGGAAAGAAGGAGATAATCGCTTTCCCCCAAGTAGGAAAACATGTTTGTGTGCCGGTTTTCTTATTTGAGTCATTGTTGGCCATGTGATTTGTTCTTCTAGGCGCATGTGATGCCTGCTGTGCTGTGGGGGCAGCTAGATGAGTGGCACAGTGTCCTGCAGCCACGTTTTTGTCATGGCATAAGCTGCTTCTGCTTCTCTTTACAAACGAAACACGTTTTTTCTCACTTGGATCGCCTGTGACGTCTTATTTGACTGTTTCTTCCGACCTCTGTGTCCTTGTCCCATTGCTGCCTTTAGAATCCTCACAGCCGGTTGGAGTTTGTCACCATTGCAGTCTGTGGTTTTGTTACAATATCCTATTGTTTTGTCCTTTTGAAGTATGGAGCCAAAGACACAAAGGAATGTGTTTTATTCTAAGCGGCATTTAGCAGATTAATGAAGGTCTGTGGCTAGCTGGGGACAATGTTTACACGTTCTGATTTTATTGAGGTGTCATTTGTGTTCAGGATGGGCAAGTGTCTGTAGATCTCAGCCAGTCTGAACCCAAAACCTCAATAAACAAATGCCAGCTTCAGTTCCTAGTCTGGCTTGTGGTATGCCCCATGGCATAAGAAAGGCGCACATTGCGTGGGGTGCCACCACGCCATCTTACTGCAGGAGGCTGTGTTTGGTATTTGAAGCATGCCTGGATTAGGGCTACCTGAGTGTCTGGAGCATGAGTTGAAGTGGGAAAAGATG